TATATATATATATATATATATATATATATATAAACAGGCCAGACAACTATATCAAATGACTAAAGCCACACAGATAAAGACACGAAGACATGCCCACGACGGATGTTTCATCTATTAAAAACTGGAACCCATCTATACCATAAATTATAGGAATATTATTCAAAGCAAAACTACTACATTGAATATCCTTCTGCTAGGTAGCTACACCTGTGCAATCCCTTAAGGTAGCAGAGTTAGTTGAAGGGCCCCACCCTTTTTTTTCTTGGTAGAGAAGGACCCCACCCTTACAAGCATAAAATGAGATTTTTTTTTTCAGTCCTACAAGCCTACACTCCTACTCTGGCGGGACACACTAACCAAAATTAATATTTGATCCATTATTTTATTTTATTTTTTAGTAACTAAAATCGTAAAAATATATTTAGGAATTTTTGGTTTCATGACCGAAATAATTAGTTTTAGTATTTTGATTATAGGTTATACTCAAATCAATATTAATTATTTATTTTAATCTTAATAGTGAATATATTTAATTAAAATCAATGTTGTCAATAACGATTATAACAGCCAACTATGGTCGCTATGAAAAATTTCTATAACATAATGAATGAAATATTTCTATAACATAATGAGTGAACAATAGTGGCTAGCAAGTATAGTAGGGTATAACAATCGCTATTTAAATTTCGTGATTTTTTTGTTAAATTATCATGTCAACCTAACATCAAAAGATTAAAAATTTTTAAAGTTAATTTTGCCTTTCCAATTTTTCTATTTATAAATTAAAGAATAGAAAACCCTAAAACTCATCACATCTACTCTCCATGACATCTTGCACACATCTGGTCTTCTAACTCACCTCTCAACTCTCCCCTCTCAACTCTCCCCTATCCTCACGAGTCACGATCTCACCTCTTGGGTCTCAGCGTCAATATTCTCTCACACTGTTCGCATCATCTGATCTCTTCTTAGTCCCCATTGGCCATAGCAAGAGTGTAAGACAACTCTCACAGCTTACCCCTTCACACCTCCTATGAAACCTTGACCTCTCAAATTCTAGCACTTACTTTTAGAACTTCAACCACAACCTTTAGTGTTGATGTAGTTTATACTACTAGAAATAGCGAAGAAACTCATACTTTAGATCTTGAAAAAGTGAAAGGAGGAAGAAGAGGAGTTTGAGTTTGGTGGAACAAGTTAGAAAGACAAGGATGATGATGATTTGGTGGCTGAGCGAAAAGAATTTGAAGCAGAAAAGAGTGATAAAGATTATTAGACTCTTGAATGATTTTTTGTTTTAAAGTTTTATTATATAACTTTTTTATGAACTGATCTTGTTTGACTTTTGTACTCTTTAAATATTTTATTGTATTATTTTATTATTAAAAACTAGGATTTTTATTTGTTGAGACTAGAGAATATTATTTTTTTAATAATTTTTTATAATTTTTATAAACTCTTAGGTTATTTTATATTTTTTATTACTAGATTTATCTTTTATTTTAATTATTAGGTTTATATTTTTATTTTTTTTATTAAATACCTGTTATTTGTCTATAGCGACCACTACATTACCTGTTATATTATCATAGCAGATCTCGGCCTTTTCACTATTGATCGCTATCTGCTATTGAAAACACTAATTAAAATTTGAAAATTTTTAAAAAATATTAATATAACAAAATATTTTAAAAAAGTAGACAAATGAAAGTAAAATATGAATTTTAAAATTTTTTAATTTTAGATACATTTTAAATTTAAACACTAAATTATAAAAGGTTTATAAAGTAAAACTATGAAATGAGATTATATAAAATAGTTTTTATATTTAT